CCCCAAAACCCCAAAACCCCAAAACCCCAAAATTTCAACGTAGAATTGAATAACTTTTGTCTAAAAATAGGGCCTAGTCATCAGGCTCTTGGTCTTTGCCACCCTGACTATGCCTAGCTGTAGTGTATATAAGGGAACATTCAGAGGCAAATGGCTTTTCTTGCTCATCTGTGATATCAAGCCAGTTTTCATGAAGCCTATACTGTATCTCAAGCTTTTCAAAATCCCCCAGTAACTCTTTTGTGAGACTCTCTTCTTGGCCGACTTGGTAGGTATCCTCTAGCTTCAATTTTACCTTTGGGCTGTCAGGTATTGTTGCAGTTATTTTATGCTCCTCACTGATCTTACTTTGACTGTCTGAAACACTTCTTTCAGTTTCGTTCTATAAGAATTATTCATGCAGCTCCAAAATATGTATATAAATATTTTCTAGTAAGCATATCATGGTGAAAATTAACCAGAGCTGAACCATCTTCTTTATTGGGCAGTCTTTAATGGGAAAACTGCCTTTGAATCAGGATTAGGGATGGCAGCCATTTTAGGAATATGTCCTGGCTTACCTTTCCTTCAGAGGATGCTTTTTCTTTCTTCCCTTGATGAAGGATGGTTTGTGGCCTAATAATGAGCAGGTAAATCGTACTCGTGAGGGCTAGATTTACGCTTCTTTTTTGAATCAGTATCAACCTCTTGTCAAGGCTTATCTACTTAAAGGGTTAATCTCTAACGAGTAAGGTAAAGTGGTGGACATAATGAAATAGAGTTACTCACCCTCCTCAGCTGCATTATTATTTCTATAAAAATTAGGACTTATTAGTACTTTTCAGAGTTTAAATCTACCTCTTTTGAGTCTTTGATGACTAGCCCTGAATTATTCTTAGCCATTTTTGATACAAAATGACGATTCTTGCGCTTCACAATCTTGATACGCTTCTTTTTAGGAGGAGAAGATTTCTGGCATTTTGAGCTAAAAATTAACAGAAATTCTTACACCGACATAATATTAGTAGATTCAGTATTGCCAAAAGTTGATTTAGCATGTATGGCCTTAAACCCTGAATGATGAGATGTCCGGTCAGCTCCAAACTTAGACTTGTTTGACCAGAATGAGTCTCCTTCAACTCTGCTTTTCACACTGAAATTATTTTGATGAGAAGCTAAACCATAAGACATAAGATAATTCCAAAATATGCACATTTCGCAGAAAATTTGAAGAATTTAATAAGTAATGAGCCCCATAGATCTCTGGTAGAATTTGTACCATACCTTGAGAATGGTCACTTGAGCCTCTATCAGATTGCTCCAAGGTGAAATTAACAATCTCAGCATGAGATTGCATCCGTGGAATCCTGTTATCACTAGGTCTTGAAAGATTTTTATGGGCCTAAAACATTAGCTCTAAAATAAGCTCTGCTCACCTTGTGTGTCTCAATCCCTGGACTTGCCAGCCCAGGGCCGATCTTCTGAGTGCTTTGCACTCTGAGCTTCCTAGAATTGCTAGGTTTGACACTCCTTCTATAAGACTCTGCCATGTAAACTTTCTCCGAATTAGGAGAAGTCTCCTCCCAATTGAAGTAATTCCTATTTAACTGCTGTGGAGAATTTGAGCCTATCATTTTCTGGTTCTGTAGAGGCGCCCTAAAACTATGAACAAAGCTGAACCAATCACTGGATACAGAAGTAGTTTCGAAGCAGCCAATTATAAGTAGCTTCTCAGAAATCAGAGACTTACAACTTTTTGCAGGTTTTATTTGATTTCTTTATCATAGATTTCCCTCATGGGATATTAGGCGAGAGCTTTGAATTTTGACTCATCAGAGAGGTCTTTAGTTAGTTGCAAAAAGATACCTTTAGATCTCTTGTCTCATGAAGGTTACGTGGTCCATCAGAAGAGTTATACCTCGTATTGTTTCCAAGCTTTGAGCTAGAGAAATCAGATAAATTTGGTCAAGAAATTTCAGAATGATAAATTTTCTTACAGTATTTGGTACTTCTTCATTAATTCCTTTTGTCTTCAGTCAAAATGGATATGATTGAAATAATGCTCGAATTGAGCATCGCTGAAGATGAAATAATGCCTTACTGCTTCTTTCTGAAGTACGAGTCTTTTCCTTCTTGTCCAAGGTTTATTCGTCTAAATCAGCCATTAATCCGATATTAGCAATGACTTACCCTATACCAGCATCTTGGCTATTTCAGCTCGATAGCTTCTTTCCTGTAAGAAATATAAATTGTTCTTCCAGTGGAAGTTCCAGGTTGGTAATATAATATGAGCAAGGGTAAGCTAGAAAAACATTTCTGAGCAAAGTAAGTCCTGAGACTCCTTACTTGTACTTCTGATACCTATCAATACGAGCTTTGTTTCGCATCCATTCTTCAGAATCTTTAGGTGCATCTATAGCCAGAAATAGCCAATTTAGTTTACCAAAGTTTTGTTATTGAGAAAGAAAAGCACATTCAGAATGAAAAGAAATAATATTCTAGCTCTTGTGGAATCCTAACTGATCGCCATCTGCCATAAAAGGTCATAAGCAAACTTGGGTGGGTAGACAGACTTCAGTCTTGCCCTTAAGGCTGCTTACCATTCCAGTATTCCTTGAGTACTCTGTTCATCTTTAGTTAAACTTTTCAATAATTTTTACGAAGCTAGGGGTTTTGGGGTTTTGGGGTTTTGGGG